GTCAGTTCGTATCGTACGTAGCTTTTCTTTTAAGCTTCATTGATTCTTTTCCATCAGGTAAGGACATACACGAATACTTATGTTTGGTTTCTTTTTTGGGCCCACATTATGAGAGAAAATTATTACCTTCTTAAAATAATACATCTAATCTAACGATCTAAAATATCGGGTCCACCAATTTAAGAGAAAATCAACGGTGAGATTAAATAGTGCCATGTGGCGGTCTAGGAGTATTTGTAGCAACGCCACGTGGCGTCTTAAGAGCGTTTTTAGGAAGTTTAATGGACTTTTAGTATATAATAAATGGAAGGTAGCCCACGCATTCGCGCGGGCATGTAAAGTAGATTACGCTTGAGTAACATGTAAGGTGGAATATCAATCGAATGACACCTGCTACGCTTGAAATTAAAGTACTATTTCTTTATACATTTTCTTCATCGATATTGCTCAGATAATTTTTTACAAGATATTTATAAGGTTTGAACTATATAATATTTAATTCATTACTATAAGCAATTATCAATGATCTTCGTTATTTTCTTTGAGTCAATAAATACATAGGAGACATATATATTGTACGCCTCGTTTCCTATTATATATGTCATTTATAGTGTTCTTTTAAAAACAATACCTAGTCAATGTGAGTCCTAAATTTAAAGCTGATAGTAGCATATATATAACTCTTTTAACCAACTAAGTACTTCTACGTCATGCTGTCTTAGTATGTCTTATATATGCAATAATATACAAGAAACTCATAATACCACGATATAGGACAGAAGGCCATTAATATCTAAGAACTTAAACATGGTTATGGCAATGGAACATACAATTGTCGTTCCAATTTTTTTTACAAATTTATTAGATTCTATCTAATTGATTTAATTCAATCCCTATTGACATTATGGATAAGGAATTGTTGGTTTAATTATTTAATATAGCAACAATTAGATAAGCAATTTGATGTATATCTTGAAAATATGGTCTTTTCAGTATTATTCATAGTGTGGTTGATAGCTAAAAAGTAGGAAGGGGGAGGAATGGAGAGCAGAGAGCGTGAGCCAAGGTTGAAGGGGACCGGTAGTGTTGTGTGCATGTGCCGGGGAGGATGAGGTTTGGGGACTTTATTTTTCTTATTTTTTATAAATAATTTAAGTAAACCGACGATCATTTGTTTTTTTCTTATAATTTGTAAGGTTTCTTTTTTGTAATTTTGACGACAGTTAAAATCAGATATGAATGTCCCCTTTAATGGGTGAAGCCAACCATATCCGTCGAGGCTTTATTTCTCCACTGCCTTTAAACATAGGTTCTAAGCCGACATAGTGTTAACAACCAAATTTGGTAGCATCTGTGTCAGGAAAGAGGATTTGATCAAAGCGGAGTCGGAGGCGGAGATCGAGTTCGGAAACAGAGTAGGAATCGGCTGAGCAGGAATCGGCTGGAGTCCAGATCGGCTACGGTTAAGATCGGCTGGGTCTGAGTCGAGCTAAATAAGCCGATACAGCCGATTCCGACAATACGGCTTGATCGCGACATCGGGTTCACGTTAATGTACTTCAAGATGATTGCCATACATGGATAGAGTCCTGGGAAGGCAATTGTATCTATTAATTAGGATATTTTATGTAAATTCCTTATAGATAAGTGTGGGCAAAAATCTGCCGCAAAGACTTATGGTATCTTGGAGTTTGTTAGAGATAATGGTCGTGTCCGGTATGGGCATATCTTGTAATTCTCGGGTATAAATAGACCCCGGGCCCTATGTAATTTTTTAACACACACGTCCAATACAATCTCGGCGCATCGCCACCCTTTTTGCTTTAGTTTTGTTTCGACAAGTTCTTGCTTTCGGGTTGAGCTGCATCGATTTCAATATTCAACAAGAGGTAAAACTTGTTATGACGGCTTGCGTTCTCGGGATTAGTGCTTCCATCTTCATGACACTCTAATCTTGTTTATGTAATTCGTCGAGTTATCATATATCTTATATAATCTCTAACAATATCGCTATCTAATCTACTATCGGCCAATATCTGTACGCAGAAGGCAGCCGATTAGGTTAGATCTTGACGTTGATCTAGATCATATAAGATATCCACCATTCTATGGAACTGCTAGCGGCTTGATTGTCTAGATATCGTTCTTCTTTTCATACTTAATGCTGCATAAGTTGAGTTTGATCTATTAAGTCGTGCTTAGAATATCGATCTCTAGCCTGCCTTCTAGTTGCCGATTAGAATAGCATTGGAGTTTCAGCCGATCGTATCTGATTTAGCCATATTTATTCTATATGTCTCATTGATATGCTAAATCTGCCCTTTATATCAAGATATTGCTGTATCTAAATATGTTAGGCTTTTGTTTGATATATTATACCTGCTTTAATATCCTGATATAGAGTGGTATCGGAGTATTAGCCGATACACGCTCAGCCGAGTACTAAAGGTGCTACCGACGGCTCCCCAAGCGATCAAGGCGACAATCTGCGAGGAGCGCGTGGGGCTCAAGGTGATGGTGCTCAAGGGCCGCAAGAAGGAAATCTTAATCAGAATAATGAGCTAGCACAAGATTTTTTCAACAACTTTCAAGATCGAGTTGATTACGCTGTGCATCATGCTCTGATCAATCAGTCCGGGGTTTTAGTCAATACATTGTCAAACATGATGAAGACAATAGCCGATGGTTCGATAGCCGAGCATCAGGCTACAGGCCCAGTTTACTTGCAAGGAGGTGTCTTCCCGAATTATCGATCTTTGATCACCGATGTTCAGCCATCTGTTCAAGCGGTTTCCTCCGTTGCGTCCACAATTCAGCCGACGGCGCCAACATCAACTCCCCTACCCGCTACATCAGCTATGGCGCCAGGCCAGCCGCTGAACCCTCGGTTATTAATGAGGGAGCATCCACAGCCTACTGGGCAGATCGCGAATCAGCCGACCCAAGATCAAGTTGCTGCCATGTTTTTGCCACCTCCACCTATTGTTGACCCAGTGCAACAGCAGCCGATTCAGCAGGCACCACCAATCCAGCCAGTTGTACAGCCAATCCAACAACAAGTCGTACAACCAGCTCAACAAACGCCACCACGGCAGCGGCTTCAGCCGATCCAACAGACTCTAGTGCGATAGCAGATCGTTCAGCCGATCCAGCACCCGGGGTCGGCAAATGCATCGGCCGGGTTCGCAGCTCCTGGTGGGCAACCTGCGCAGCAATTTGTAAACCAAGTCGTCCCAGAGCATTTGGTTCACCATGCACAACCGGACGGCACTGTGGTGCCTCAGATGGTTCCTGAGCACTTGGTACGCAACATCCAGCCGAATCTTCAGAACTACCAAGGGGGTAACTTGAGTTATCAATTTCAGCCTCCTTCCCCGCAAACCCAATATCAGCCAGGGGGATTGGCTCAGCCCCAGTTCGCACCTCAGTTTGGTCAATTCGAGCCCATGCAGCAACAACCACAAGGAGCAGCTTAGCAACGACCATGGGCCGATGTGATTGCCAATGTAATGAGGGAGCAATTTGGGCTTAAACCAAAAGAAACTAGAAGTTTGTATCGGCAGCCTTATCCTGAGTGGTTTGAAAGAGTTCCTCTTCCCAATCGGTTTAAAGTTCCAGATTTCTCCAAGTTTTCGGGACAAGAGGACGTGTCGACTTATGAGCACATCAGCCGATTCCTTGCTCAGTGTGGTGAAGCGTCGGCTGTAGACACCTTGAGAGTTAGGTTGTTCCGGTTATCTCTGTCCGGATCAGCTTTTACTTGGTTCTCCTCTTTGCCATATGGGTCGATCAATAGTTGGGCCAATTTGGCGAAGCAATTCCATAGCTATTTCTACAGTGGGGTCCATGAGATGAAGTTGTCCGACTTGATAGCGATCAAGCAGCGGCATGATGAACCCGTGCACGAGTATATTCAGAGGTTCAGAGAGATGAGAAACAAGTGCTTTAGCTTGAGTTTGACCGACGCTCAGCTAGCCGATTTGGCCTTCCAGGGTATGATTCCTCCAATCAGGGAGAAGTTCTCATCCGAAGACTTTGATAGCTTATCGCATCTGATACAGAAGGTGACCTTGCACGAACATAGGTCGGCGGAAGTCAGGAAAAGCTCTAAGAAAGTTAATCACGTTTGTCCATCTATGTATGGGTCGGATGACGAAGAAGATGATTCTGAGATAGCTACCGCCGAATGGGTGAGGAGCAAAAAGGTTATACCATGCCAATGGGTAAAAAGTCCTGGAAAAGAGGAGAAGTATGACTTTGATATCACCAAAGCTGACAAGATTTTTGATTTGCTACTCCGAGAAAAGCAGATTCAGCTTCCTGCTAGTCATACGATCCCACACTACAAGAGCTTAGGCCTTCTATGACTAATTAATTGTGACAATTACAGCCTTTGTCTTGTCATTGTACCCCTTCTATGACACACTAGTGACAAAATAGCTATAGTCATTGAATCCCTGTCATTATCCTTCTTCTGTGACTAATAGACCCAATTGTTATTAATCGTAGTGACAATTGCACGCTTGTCACTGGTCTGTGACAACGGTATTTGTCACTATATTTGTCATAATACATTAGATGGGATGCTAACAAGTGTCTAGTCATCTGACGTGGCATATGACATGGCGTGTGACATGGCATGTGGAGTATGACAAAAATAATTGTCACAAAAACGAATTTGGCCCATTTATAACATGGGCTGGTTTTACAATTATAATTCAAATAAGCCTAACTAGCCCATGGGCCAGCCATCCAATTTTGGCCCATTTCTCAACAGCCTTTTTATTTTTTTCATGTAAGCCCAGTAGTATTTCAGCTCATTTTACAGCTGATATTGCAGCCCAAGCTCATTTAAAGAATCATCATAAATAATAAACAACTTATAATTTTATAACAAAAATAATTAGACATCCAAACAGATCATTTCCTCCAAAATTAATGGTTCATACAGCCATATAATTGTACATACAATAGTTCTAAACATTCACCATCCATACAAATGAATCACAACAAAATACGTCCACCAAAGTCCTACAAGTCCAACAGATCACCAGGTCACTAATCAGTAATACCAAACATACATCCATCAAAATCATTCTAGTCAAGGCAACAACAGATGGCAACTTCCAATCATCGCCTGTTCACCAACTGCAGCAACCACTCCACTTATAGCTTCAGTCATGGCACCAATAGCATACACAAGTTGAAATGGGGTGCCGAACACACATGTTGAAATGTAGAAAAAATATAGTTTATATAAAATGTTGGAGCCCGATAGACTAAACAGGCCCATTAAATTTGAGCCCACCAAATTCAATCCAATTTCTGATACCAGAGGCACAGAGCTGATGCGCTAGTCAACTAGAGGAAGAGAAGCAGAGGCAGCTGTTCATTACCTTACCTGCAGGGGAAGGCCATTGCGTTCCGCTGGAATCGAAGCGAAGGCTGCAGGGCTAGGGACGAGCAACCGAGGTGACGAGCGCTGGAGCGGGAGCGGGAGGCCAGCCAGGAGCACCGGAGTGGGAGCGGGAGGCTGGTCGCTGGGCTGGCTGAGAGCACCAGAGCGGAGACGGCGGCGGAACCCGCATCCTGCCGTGCATGGCAACTTTGCAGATAACAGATCAACACAAAGAGTGACAGATATAAGTGCTAAAATCAATTAAATCACATAATATTAAGGAGAACACATGGCAACTTGCATTATGGTGAAGACAACTGTGGTGAGTTCAGAAAAAAATTGATCAAAATGCTGGCATCAAAAGGCAGCAGCAAAGAAGTGGTATAGGCTATAACAGAGTGAAATTCCTTCTCCCTAGGATGGAAAGAGCAGTTGGTCACCCTAACTATCTAGTAAGCACTCCAATGACAAACCAAACTGTACACTATATGGGTGTAATAGACTACTAAATATTTGTAGATGATGAAGATCCTTTTCAAGTGTTGTTTCAATGCAAATTTGTGTCTAATGGCTCAAGTTGTGCTGAAATAATCATTGTTCTATTTAACCTCAAGAGCTTAAGATAACTAGATAAGATCAATATTGTGCTACTATTTCTAGTTAAATAGGCAGAGCATAATATAGAGGCAAGAGTCAGGGCGTATACCCGAGCTCGCCGCCGCCACTCGCCACCGCGCCGGATCCGCCGCGCCCGACCTCGCCGCCACCGCCCGCCGCCGTCGTCGTCGCCGAGGTCGTCATCGCCGTGGGGAGGTCGTCGTCACCGCGCCCGAGCTCGCCACCGCGCCGGATCCGCCGCGCCCGACCTTGCCGCCGCCGCCCGCCGCCGTCGTCGCCGCGGGGAGGTCGTCGTCGCCGCGCCCGAGCCGGATCCGCCGTGCCGCCACCGGATCCCCCGCTCCCGCCGCCGGCCGCCCCCGCTCCCGCCGCCCACTCCCGCCTCCGGATCCGGGCGGTACGAGGCCCGCCGCTGTCGGATCCGGGCGGGACGAGGCCCGCGTCGCCGCCCCCTCGTCGTCGTCGTCGGGGTTGGCGCCGCCGCGGAGGGGGCAGCCCGAGCGACGGGGACGACGCGGCGGCCGCCAGCCGCCGGCACGCGCACGCCGCCCACGCGCCGAGAGAGGAAGAGAAAGAGAGGGAGAGGAGAGAAATAGTGAGAGAGAGAGAGAGGAAGGAGAGGAGTGAGGAGAACGGGAAAATATCAGGGGGGAGAGAGGGGCTGAGGGGGGAGGAAAAAATATTTTGAAGTGGTGAGGAGGGAAAATTTTTATTTGAAATTTCAAATCAATTTTTATGGCACTAAATCAACTCGTATAAAAAAGTTGTAAAAAACAAATTTGTATAACTTATTTAGATCTACCATTTTTCTTTTGTTCATTTCTCTATCCGAGTTTGATTAGACTATATAAAATTTGAATTTCAAATTATGACAACTTCAAACAATATTTTTAAATAATAAATGATTTCAACTGAAAAAGTCATCAACAACAAAGTTGTATAACTTATCAAGATTTACAACTTTTGTTTTGGTCATTTTTCTATATGACTTTTTGTTGAACAGTATGAATTTGAATTTCAAATTACGACAACTTCAAACAATATTTACAAATAATAAATGATTTCAACTAAAAAAGTAATCAATAAAAAAGTGGTATAACTCATCAAGATCTATAACTTTTATTTGGGTCATTTCTTCATCTGACAAAGCGATTTATAACATTGTTTACAAATTTTACATATCTCTTATATAGTTTACAAACTATAAGAGAGATGTAAAATTTGTGAACAATGTTATTATCACTTTATTGGATGAATAAATGACCCAAATAAAAGTTATAGATATTAATGAGTTATACAACTTTGTCATTGATGACTTTTTCAGTTGAAATCATTTAGTATTTCAAAATATTGTTTGAAGTTGTCATAATTTGAAATTCAAATTCAAATTATTGAAACAGAGTCATATCGCAAAATGACCAAAATAAAAGTTGTAGATATTGATGAGTTATACAACTTTGTTATTGATGACTTTTTCATTTGAAATCATTTAGTATTTAAAGATGTTATTTGAAGTTGTCATAATTTGAAATTCAAATTTTATATAGGTCAATCAAACTCCGATGGAGAAATAACTAAAATAAGATATGTAGATCTCAATAAATTTTACAACTTTGTTTTGGACAACTTTTTCACATAAGTTTATTTATTATGATAAAATTCGATTCGAAGGTTTAATATTTTGATATTAATTAAAAGGAGGGAGGCAAAATGGACTTCTCGGCGAGGGAGAAGCAAAAGGGCTGGCCCATAGCTTCATTCCATCTCTGTTTAACCTTTTTTTTCTTTTTATTTTATTATACTATTGTGAAGTAACACACAAAAGACATAATAAATCAACTTTTATGAAAAAGTTGTAAAAACAAAGTTGTAGAACTTATTGAGATATACCATTTTAGTTTTGGTCATTTCTCCATCCGAGTTTTATTGAACTATATAAAATTTGAATTTCAAATTATGACAACTTCAAATAATATTTTTAAATATTAAATGATTTCAACTGAAAAAGTCATCAACAACAAAGTTGTATAAATCATTAATATCTACAACTTTTGTTTTGGTCATTTTGCTATATGACTCTGTTTCAATAATTTGAATTTGAATTTTAAATTATAACAATTCAAACAATATTTTCAAATACTAAATGATTTCAATTGAAAAAGTCATAAACATCAAGGTTGCATAATTCATCAAGAACTATAATTTTTATTTTGGTCATTTTTCATCCGACAAAGCAATTTGTAACATGGGAGTGTATATCTCCCAGTGTGTAAAATGTACAAGATGAAAAGAATCAATAATTACACAGCAGCAGAAGAGTAGCTCAGTGGTTTGTCCTGGGAAGCCAGTCAGCCAGAGGGCGTGGGTTCGATCCCTCCTCATTGTAAGAAGCGCTACATTTTTATTCTTTTCCAGTTAATATTCTAACTTACACATGGGTCCCACATGTCCACCTAGACATGCTCACGTGGCTGTGCCAAGGTGTTCCTTTTTAAAAAAAAAATAAATTTTAAATTATGACAATCATATTCATTCACTTTCGTCATGAACTACGCATCACTACTGTGACTAAAATGTGTTTTGTCATATGAAATTTGTCATAGAAGACCAAATTTCTTGTAGTGCCATCGGCTAAGGAATTAGGCAAGAAGAGATATTGCAAATGGCATAATTCTGGGTCTCATTCTACTAATGATTGTAAGGTCTTTAGACAGCAAATCCAGGTTGCCATTGAAGGGGGAAAGATTAGGTTTGATGATTCCAAGAAGCCGATGAAGGTCGATGGGAATCCTTTTCCTGTTAATATGGTACATACAGCTGGTCAAGCAGCCGATAGGGCCCGTGCAAAGGGTTTTCTCATGGGGTCAATAATACTAATCCCAAGTAAATTCGGCTAAGATTATCAACAAGTATCAAAGGAAGTATGATAAGCAGCAGGAGAGGTGTTATGAAGAATACGACGATGGTTTTGATCCTCATCGGGGTTGCGAGTTCTTCAGATTCTGCTAGAATGAAGGGATGAGGTTGCCATCTATTGAAAACTGCCCTGGATGCAGTGATATCATCGAAAGCTCAAGCCAATCACATAATAGGGATAATCGGCTGTGACAAGCAAGACTCCCTGTTCATCAAAGATTGGGTCCGATGAATCAAGATCGTGGCCAAGAGGATGAGGTGATCAGGAAGAATCAATGGTGTCCTTCTAGTATTTTCACGAAGAATCAGAAAAGAAGGGTCCAGAGATTGAGGAGCAGGGAGCGTTTTCAGGAGGTTGAAGAGGGAATCAACCATCGGCTGAGGAAACCAAAACCAAGACAGGAGTGGTGTGTCGAGAATCAGGTTCCCATAGCCGATGATGCTGCAGCTGATGAGGTGAAGAGGTTGGCAAAAGGAAAGAGTGTTATAGCGCACCAATTAACATGGTCTTTACATTGCCAGCTGAATTCGGGATCGATCAGGCCGAAATCGATGAAGTGGAAGAGGAATTGGCTAAGTTGGTCCTATCACCAGAATAGGCAGTATTCGAGAAACCCGAGGGGACAGAGAATCGGCATCTTAAACCATTGTATATAAACGGCTACGTCAATGGGAAGCCGATGTCTAAGATGATGGTCGATGGTGGGGCCGCGGTGAATTTGATGCCTTATGCTACGTTCAGGAAGCTGGGTAGGAACGCCGAGGATCTCATCAAGACGAATATGGTGTTCAAAGACTTCGGTGGTAATCCATCGGAGACCAAAGATGTTCTAAATGTGGAGCTGACAGTCGGCAGCAAGACTATTCCTACCACGTTTTTTGTCATCGATGGGAAGGGTTCGTACAACTTGTTGCTTGGAAGGGATTGGATTCATGCCAATTGTTGCATCCCTTCGACTATGCATCAATGCTTGATTCAATGGCAAGGCGACAAGATAGAGATCGTGCCAGCCGACAGGTCAGTTAATGTTGCCAGTGCCGATTTAGCCCTTTGAGAGATGGATGGCCTTGATTGTTTATCTGGAAAAGTCTGGGATGGAGATTTTCTAAAAGTGTCCGATTCGGATATGCAGCCAGCAGCCAATCGAAGATGGAGAACCCAAGCTATTACTTTGAGGGCGTCGTGGAGGGCTCGATTGTCTATGCTAAGGATACAGTAGATGATCTCGATGACAAGCAAGGTCAAGGTTTTATGTCGACCGATGATTTGGAAGAAATAGACATAGGTCCGGGCGATCGGCCAAGGCCGACATTTATTAGCAAAAATTTGTCTCCAGAGTTTAGAACCAAGCTGATAGAGCTCCTAAAAGAGTTTAGAGATTGCTTCGCTTGGGAATATTATGAGATGCCCGGACTCAGCCGATCGATTGTTGAACATCGGCTACCTATCAAGCCAGGTTTTAGACCACGCCAGGAACCTCCGAGGAGATGTAAGGCCGATATGCTCGAACCTGTTAAAGCTGAGATTAAACGATTGTATGATGCTGGTTTTATTCGTCCCTGCCGATATGCTGAATGGGTCTCTAGCATAGTTCCAGTTATTAAAAAGAGTGGCAAGGTCAGGGTGTGCATTGATTTTCGAGATCTGAATAAAGCTACACCAAAGGACGAATATCCAATGCCAGTAGCCGATCAGCTGGTTGACGCTGCATCCGGGAACAAAATTTTGAGTTTTATGGATGGGAACGCAGGATATAATCAGATCTTTATGGCTGAGGAAGATATCTATAAGACAGCTTTTAGATGTCCCGGTGCAATCGGCTTATTTGAATGGGTCGTCATGACTTTCGGCTTGAAGAGTGCTGGAGCAACATATCAAAGGGCCATGAATTATATATATCATGATTTAATCGGCTGGTTGGTTGAAGTCTATATTGACGATGTGGTTGTTAAATCTAAAGAAGTGGAGGACCACATAGCCGATTTAAGGAAAGTTTTTGAGAGAACCAGAAAGTATGGCTTGAAGATGAACCTGACAAAATGTGCCTTTGGTGTGTCGGCTGGCCAATTTTTGGGATTTCTTGTTCATGAAAGGGGGATCGAGGTGACCCAAAGGAGCGTTAATGCGATCAAGAAAATTCAGCCCCCGGAAAATAAGACGGAGCTACAAGAGATGATCGGCAAGATAAATTTTGTTAGAAGGTTTATTTCTAATTTGTCCGGAAGGTTGGAACCTTTTACACCCTAATTGAGATTAAAAGCCGATCAGCAATTCACTTGGGGGCCAGAGCAGCAAAAGGCTTTGGATAATATCAAGGAGTATCTCAGCTCTCCTCCTGTTTTGATTCCTCCACAGAAAGGAATACCGTTCAGGTTATATTTTTCGGCTGGTGAGAAGTCAATCGGCTCGGTTTTGATTCAAGAATTGGAAGGGAAGGAGCGAGTTGTGTTTTATCTCAGTCGACGGCTCTTGGATGCTGAGACTCGGTACTCTCCTATGGAGAAGTTATGCTTGTGTCTCTATTTTTTGTGTACACGGTTAAGGCGTTATCTACTATCTAACGAGTGCACTGTTATATGCAAAGCCGATGTAGTTAGATACATGCTATCGGCTCCAATATTAAAGGGAAGAATTGGAAAGTGGATATTTTCCTTGACTGAGTTTGATCTTCGTATGAATCACCGAAAGCGATTAAGGGACAGGCTATAGCCGATTTTATTGTAGAACATCGTGATGATTCAATCGGCTCGGTTGAGATAGTGCCATAGACTTTATTCTTTGATGGATCGGTGTGCACTCATGGTTGTGGCATCGGCTTAGTTATAATTTCCTCTAGGGGGGCATGTTTCGAGTTTGCTTATACTATTAAATCATATGCGACCAATAATCAGGCTGAGTATGAAGCAGTGCTCAAGGGGTTGCAATTACTTAAGGAGGTTGAAGCCGATACCATTGAAATCATGGGGGATTCTTTGCTGGTAATCAGCCAATTGGCAGGGGAATATGAATGCAAGAACGATATGTTGATGGTTTATAATGAGAAGTGCCTGGAACTAATGAAAGGGTTTCGGCTGGTTACCTTGAAGCATGTATCTCGAGAACAAAATCTTGAAGCTAATGATTTGGCCCAAGGGGCATCGAGGTATAAGCCGATGATCAAAGATGTTAAAGTTGAGATTGCAGCAATGTCAGCCGATGATTGGAGGTATGATGTGCATCAGTATTTGAGCAATTCATCTCAATCGGCTTCTAGGAAATTAAGATATAAGGCATTAAAGTACACGCTGTTGGATGATGAGCTTTATTATCGGACGACTGATGGGGTATTACTTAAGTGCTTGAGTACCGATCAGGCTAAGGTTGCAATCGGCGAAGTTCATGAAGGAATATGTGGTACTCATCAATCGGCTCACAAAATGAAGTGGTTGCTTCGGCGTGCAGGGTACTTTTGGCCGACAATGCTGGGAGATTGTTTCAGATATTATAAGGGGTGTCAGGATTGTCAAAAGTTTGGAGCAATTCAGCGAGCACCGGCGTCGGCTATGAATCCTATTTTTAAACTGTGGCCGTTTAGAGGTTGGGGGATTGATATGATTGGTATGATAAACCCACCATCGAGTAAAGGGCATAAATTTATATTGGTGGCAGCTGATTATTTCACCAAGTGGGTAGAGGCGATTCCTTTGAAGAAAGTTGATTCTGGGGATGCTATTCAATTTGTTCAGGAGCACATAATCTACCGATTTGGTCTTCCTCAAACTATTACTACGGATCAAGGTTCAATCTTCGTGTCCGATGAGTTTGTTCAGTTTGCTGATAGCGTGGGTATCAAGTTGTTGAATTCTTCACCTTATTATGCACAAGCTAATGGGCAAGCCGAGGCGTCTAATAAGAGTTTGATTAAGTTGATCAAGCGGAAGATTTCTGATTATCCTCGACAATGGCATACTCGATTGGCCGAAGCATTATGGTCTTATAGGATGGCTTGTCATGGATCGATTCAAGTTCCCCCTTACAAACTTGTTTATGGACATGAGGCTGTTTTGCCATGGGAGGTTAGAATCGGCTCTCGACGAACGGAGCTGCAAAACGTTTTAACAGCCGATGAGTATTACAATCTTATGGCTGATGAGAGGGAGGATTTGGTTCAGTCACGATTGCGAGCCCTTGCGAAGGTTACTAAGGACAAGGAACGTGTTGCTCGGCATTATAATAAGAAAGTTGTGCCTAAAGATTTTTCGGAGGGAGAACTTGTATGGAAGCTGATTTTGCCGATTGGTACTCGTGATAGTAAATTCGGTAAGTGGTCGCCGAATTGGGAAGGACCGTTCCAAATTCATAAGGTTGTGTCTAAGGGAGCATATATGTTGCAAGGGCTTGATGGTGAAGTTTATGGGCGAGCGCTCAATGGCAAATATTTGAAGAAATATTACCCAAGTGTTTGGGTTCACGCATGATCGGCTACTATTGCCGATACATGACAGCCGATGTGTTTACATCGCCTTGAGATGGCCGATATTGTTATATCGCCCTTAGTTGTTTTTATAATGTAATTGGTTGTGGTTTGCCGATGTACAATGGCCGATATTGTTATATTGCCCTTAGATGTTTCATAATTTTATCAATGCTCTCGACATTGTAAAACTAGGGGGGCATATATATATCAAGATGCAGTATAAAATTTTTTGAGCAAATTTCAAAGTCATATTAATCGGCACAAAGGATTGTTAAGACAGTAGAGTATCAGAATGTCTCAGCCGATTAAAAAATTTTTTGAGTCCTATTACATAAAGATTATTGCGATACGTATTGCTGGATAGCCGATATAGCCTTCTGCCTAATCTGCTATACTTCCTCTATGGCCTGGGCATCTTGAGCATCGGTTCCAGGGATAACTTTCAGGGACTTGGTCAGTTCAGCAACATGCTTAATAGACGATTTGAGTCTTGCTTTCTGTTCTTCAATAGACTTGGGGAGATCGGCTAGTTTCTTATGTTCCATATCCAGCTCAGCGTTACATTCTTCAAGTTGTGCTAAGAGGTCAATCTTGCGAGCCTCAAGCCGATCAATGTTAGACTTGATTGGACCTTCAGATAATTGATCAAGCTTGGACTTCTCTTCATGCACAAGTTATCGGTTGGCTTGGATAGTGGCCTCAATGTCCTTACGTTCTCGCCGTTCGGCTAGTCTTAACTTGGCTTTCTCCAGTTTGAATTGGTGTTGCTCAAGGTAAACGGCTAGAGTAAGGATATCGGCTAACTCATCTGGGATTAAAGGTTGAATCTCATGTAGCCGAGCCCTGATTGAGCCACAGTTAACCACCAAGCTGTCTAGCGATGATGCCTCTAGCCGATCTAAAATGCTTCCTAGAGTTATCTTCACATCATCAGATAAAGGAGCCAAGGCTTTGCTTGTGGTATCTTCTTCTCCTTCATCAAGGTAGTCTCTGATGTCAAAAGAGAAAAGATCGGCTAATACCTGCAGTGACAGTTTAGAAGCATATTAGAGGTTAAACGATTACAACCGATTTGAATGCGTGTTATGATAAAAGAAACTTACTGGGATAGCAGGAGCAACTGGTTGTTCTTCTTCCTCGACGTGATGACTTCCCGCAGCTGAAGGGGTCTGATCACTTGATGATTGTTGAACAGAAGGAGAAGGAGGAGGTGAAGGCTGAAGGAAAACAAGTGTCAGATAGAATTGGCTAAAAATTAACTGATAAAAGTTAAAACTATCTTACTGGTGGAGCTGGTTTAGATGTTGTTACAGCCGATTTCTTCTTTACTGCAGTCTTCTTTTTCTACAATTATAAGACTTGGGAGTGATCGGCTATAAGACAAAATAATCACGAAAGGGATTAATAAGAAACACTTACCCTGGAGAAGTGAACCGGAGCAGAAGGAGTTGGAGAGGTTTGCTTAGGTGAAGCCGATGGTGTTCTTTCAGTATCACTTACTTCGGCTGCGGCCTGATCAACCTCGTCTTCAATTACCTCTTCATCCAGAGCTTGTTCGATGGATGGATCTAGGGCAGGCAGATCATCGGCCGGCTTGGTTTTCTTTGTCTTCTTCTTCTTAATTGGGGCTACGATGCTTACAGCCGACGATCTGGTTTTCCTCTTTTTGCCGGCATCGGCTGGTTCTCTGACGAGCCCTTGAAGAAGAGCTGAGGTCTTGGGGGCATCATAGCCTATAACTGGAGGAGATAACACACCTCCGTTAGGAATTAAACCTGGGGCATATTGGATGTCTTTGCCACTATTGCTTTGATGAGGAGGGGAAGATTCTGTTGTCTGCAAATTGAAAGGACGATTGGTTGAGATTAATCGGCCAAATAGTTATTTAACTAAAAGTGAGCAAAGTTGGAGACTTACTTGAGGGACAACATCTGGAAAGAGGTCTGTCATGTACATTGAAGCTGGTTGGTGGATTAAATGCAGTTTCCATTCACCCCACCACCTGTCAAAGCTTTTGCTTCTGAATGTTGCCAGTTCTATGTTGTCAATACTGCCCAGAGGGGGTCCTTGAAGGCCAAGCAGCCGATCCATCATCAGGGTTGATGAAATCCCTCCTCGGCATTGGATCTTGTTAGCAAAGAATAAGCTGATTGGGAGTTGGCCCATTCCGAGTTGTCTTGCTGAGCTTATTGGATGATAGAATTCATAAGAAGCTTGGATGTTTCTTCCTTGATGAATGCCAATAGGAAGGATACATGAGCTGATTGCAGCTGAGAAGATTTCCCTGGATGATTGGTATACTTTATGGTTGATGTCTTCAAATCTGAAGTCCACTGGGTGCTCAAGTTGTGCAGAGTCTTCATAAAGGAACCAGATTCTAGCATCTTTTTGAAAGCCTTCATAGAAGCTTCAAAACCAATCCTTGAGCAGTTCAGCCGATAGTTTTGCTCCGGCGTCAGTTGGTGTAGAAGCGTATTCTCCGTATGATGTGCATCTCCGATGAGTACGCTCTTCTCCATCATCATCTACAATTGGCTCTAGTCTTGGGAACTCAGCTTCTGATACGGATGGCCGATTGACAACCTTCATGACTATCAGGTTTAACTAGGTTTGTAGCAGCCACCAGGGTCCACCTGCTCCAACTACTGAGCCGACTGCTATCTTAGCCGATGCATTGCTCAACATCTGGTATAGATAGCCGAGGAAAATTTTGCCCAAGGGGAATTGTCTCTTTGTTTCTAGAGCTTCAGCCAGAAATTGCCAGTTGGTTGTGGGGCCGCAACTTGATCCACAGAAAAGAAATTTTTCTAGCCACATTAATAGAAAGGCCACATGTTCTCGAGGGGTGACCGAGCCCTGGCCCATGTATGCTGCCACATAGCCTGACCAACCCCCTATGCTTTTGGTTTTGAAGTCATATTGGTTCTTTGTGTTCAAACTCATAGGGTTGGCCGATGAGGTGACATCCAGACCTGTGATCATACTGATATCTATGAGGGTTGGAGTCATCGGCCCTTGATTGAACAGAAAGGCATTAGTAGTGTTTGACCAAAAGTAAGAAGCAGCTGCCATCAGGGGTTCATCTTTGGCTGAGTTCGCTATAGTAAGCTCAAGTGCTTGGCCGATTCCAATTTCATCCCAGTGAACCCTTTTGCTGGCTGATACACGTTTGAACCATGTGGTCCAGCTCTTTTCTGGTGGAACTTTCTCTAGAGACAGCCAGGATTTGAAGGTATTCTTCCAGTGACCTAGATCTGGGTTAGTTAATCTAAAGGGAATCCTATTGGTTTCACCAATAATGAACTTGGTGAGGTCTGGATTGCCGACTGGGCCAAGAAAGTAGTGATTTTCATGCGACAGGCTGGGAATCGCAACTAGGTTGGAAAGGTGCTACAAATCCAAAGCAATTCAGAGGGAGAGAGTGGTATCAGATTGGAGAAGATCGATTTGCTGCTAAAGAAGGGGATTTAGCCGATGAGAACTTACCTCAGCGTATTCGGCCGATGGTGCACCAGGTGGGCTGGCGGAAGATGACATTGGTGCGGGTGGAGATCTCGTCGGAAGGAAATCGCCTAGGAATCGCCTTTGTGCCGGAGGAATCGCTGGAGAAGAGAGAGAAAAGGTTTCTCTTGAGCGGTGAAAACGGAAGTCACGGCGTGAGATTTCTCGGGGGTAACGGTTAGTATTTAAAGCGCTGGAATAACGGTCGAAAGCGGCAGAGTGTGAAACTTGCTCGGAGTCGGCATATGGCAAATCCGAAACATTATTGAATATCCCGGACTTGGGGGGCATGTGTTAACAACCAAATTTGGTAGCATCTGTGTCAGGAAAGAGGATTTGATCAAAGCGGAGTCGGAGGCGGAGATCGAGTTCGGAAACAGAGCAGGAATCGGCTGAGCAGGAATCGGCTGGAGTCCAGATCGGCTATGGTTAAGATCGGCTGGGTCTGAGTCGAGATAAATAAGCCGATACAGCCGATTCCGACAATACGGCTTGAACGCGACATCGGGTTCACGTTAATGTACTTCAAGATGATTGCCACGCATGGATAGAGTCCTAGGAAGGCAATTGTATCTATTAATTAGGATATTTTATATAAATTCCTTATAGATAAGTGTGGGCAAAAGTCTACCGCAAAGACTTATGGTATCTTAGAGTTTGTTAGAGATAATGTCACGCCCAGAAATTCACTAGTAATTTTCGAACTAATTTGTGTATGAAATCCTCGTCCAGGAATCAGCCGAGGTACACAAACTGACAATTTAATATACAGATTCATCAAAATAACTAAAGCAATAAATACTTACATAAGAGGCACTTAGTCCTCAGCATGAAGAAAACTGCAGCGAAAAAATAAAATCTAGCGAAGCTCCGGCTCCACTCCCACAGGCAGCTCAACTGGGGTATAAGCCAAACGTTTTCTCCATCGCAACTTGTCTTCAACTGAGGTTTGATTGATTATTGCAAGGTGAGCATATGACATACTCAGCAAGCCACGCAGCAAATATGCAAGTGCAATGGATAACAAAGGATGGCATAATATGGGCTCATTTGCATAAACAGCATTTAATAAGCAATTGAGAGAATAGTAAAACAGTTGAGTAATTAAACAATATTAAATCAACACTATACAACACACCCGTGTTGCATAGGCCCAACCATTCTGAACAACCAATCCCGGCTGCACAGTTCTATCTCCAAACCAGGAATATACCATTCCAAACCAGGAGCTAAACAAGTTGTTACCAATTACAGCATCGTTTATTATGGTGGGAGATGTGAAACTAATCACGAAAGACATTGTTAGACCCGCCCATAACCACGGGCACGGCTATTCGAATAGTTTTACTCTGGCCAGAGGTGTACCACTGTACCCACAAGACACAACCTCAACATCATGTCAACCACGTGTCGCGATACTTAACAAGTACCTGAATAGAGATTGTGACAATACCTCCTGCATAACACAATTCAAAGCAGTGCACCATTCCTGGATCATAATCACCCCCTTATAAACAAGGCATGGACTCCCCAGCGACCCCCGTGGGCTTATCTCCGCCACTTCTCAATCTGGTGCTCCGCAATGAACCATGCTATACAAAAGGTAAAGCCGTTGCCCACGCTGGCTTGTGGTTGGCACGGTTAATGTTTCACAACCGAAACTCGTGAACCGGTCCTTAATTGTCATGAGCACGACCATCAAAACCATGTGCTCACAACCCACCATTATCAAGTTTTAATTGGCAAGTAATTAATTAACCAATCACGATTGACCATCGTGAGCTTCCATTAAATATCCACAAGTGATAGTGAAGCATGATTTATCCCATTAGTGAGCTATTGTTTCTAAGCATGGCTAAGCATCTATTATAAGCATCTAGCTGAACCAAACCAATATATAAGGTTCTAGCTAATCAAATTATAACCCATAGGAAAATAAAGTCATCTTCGGCCATAATTAAATGGGAAAGGCTCACCACCCGATGACATTCGAAAATAAATGCACAGTTGAAATAAATAGAGAATTTAAATATAGGATCAACATGCTCAAAGGAATTGTGTTTGGGATCTGTGTGACTTACCTTGCAATATTCGGTCTTCAATAAGTCTTCTGGAACACTTCCGACGCACTTACGAACCTTCGAAACGACGGAAACGACAAGCTAACATACAAAAACGAGGAGAAAGACTAATAAAAACCAAATAAACAGTACATAAAAGTAAACAAACATGTAGATCATGATTTTAGATGAATTATGAGACTTGAACGGCCTCATTCTGACTTCATATGAATTAGTTACGAATTTTACAAGATTTAATTCCAATTAAACCTATTAAAGAAAAGACTATTCCAAATTAATTAAATCATTTACAAATGATTTATAACTGAGATAAAAGATTAAAACAACCTCCGGAAAAAGATTAGATTATATTTGGTAGATGACATATATTAAAAAGAAATAATATGCCACTGAAAAGAGAGAACGGATTTATATCAATTTTTGACGGCTGAGATTAATCTTGACCAAGAGTTGACCAATATCGGATGGCTTGGGTCGATCCGGCAAGCGGGCCTCACGAGATACCGACTCAACGAGTCAATTCTACGTGACACGGGATCATCCAAATGATCAACCGAAACCGGCGAATGGAACCGGCGGCTCTGAACAACTCTAAACTAAAGGACGACTCCACACGGACGAACGAACGAAGCACGGGGAACACCTCGTTCGAACGAACGAGCGAACGACTCAACAACGGCTGCGGCTAAACCGGTGGGCTAGACACGATTCACGGTAAAGCCCCGGTACGACAAACGATAGGCCGGTAGGAACCTAGGGATGCACCTACGGCTAGACAACTTGATTACCGAGCAACGGCTAAAGCGGCGGCTAGGTTTAAGCGGTACACAGCCGGGACACAGCACGACAGCGATGGCACGGCAACAAAGCGCTGGCGGCAGCGGTGGCATCGCAACACCAGCAGCAGCGGCAACGTGGCTTGGCCGGCTAGCGCACACTAAGGCAGCAGCACAGCGGCACGGCGCAACAGCACGACTGAGGCAGGGAGCGACACGGCGGCGGCTAGGCGGCTAGCGCACACTAAGGCAGTAGCTAAGCGCGGCACAGCTGTGTGGCAGCGACAACGTGGCTACTCGACGACACAAATGAGAGATTAAAATCTAAACCGATGGAACACGAATAGAAGTCTCACCGAACCAAAATGATCGGAGAGGGAGAGATGACGATGGCCACCCGGTGGCAACACACGGAGACGACAACTACGCTAGACAGACATCGGATTAGGTTAGATTGGATTAAGACCCTAGGGATAAACTACACCGGTGAACGACATAGGAGCGCGGTTGCCGGCGAACCACGGCACAATAATGCAAATGGAGGGCACCTGGAGGAAGAGCGCAAGGCGACGGTCCTTACCAACACTTACGCGACGACAGACGGCGACGGAAGATGGCCGGCGACGAGCTTCAAAGGGCGGCGAGGTACTGTCCACGGCGGCGACGATTTTCCGGCGACGAACGGAGGCAACAGAGGGGTGGACGAGGTCGGCGACGGCTTGGCGATCACGACGGCGACCTTCCCGAGGTCTTCGACGCAAGGGAACTGGCTGCCGAGCTTGCTCTTGACCTTGCAGAGCCGAGAGAGGTGGCGGCACAGGAGGGCGACGGCCGAGGCGACGGCGAGGTGCGGCTGGACCAGCGGCCGGCGGCGGCGAAGCTTGGATTCACGTCGGCGAGGTACTTCCAGAGGTCTTCGGCGACGGGGAAGTGGAGGCCGGTCTTCTTCTCCTCCTCGCGAACCCAACGACGGCAGCGGCGACCGAAGGCGACGACCATAGCGACGGCGCGGGGCTGCTGGAGCGGCGGCCGGAGGTGGAGAGAGAAGGCGAGCGCGGGGAGAGCGATTCCGGCGACGACGGCGGACGGGACTTGAGGGGATAGGTAGAAGACGACTAGGGGGTCCTTTATATAGGCACGGGAGCTCGGGATCAAGCGCACAACGACGGGAAAAACTCGGGAAAGTTTAGGATCTTCGCCGGAAAAAGGAAAGATTGAACCGCGAAATTGGAAAGGATTTCCATAGAAACATTTGGGGATTTCTTGGGGAAAAGGAAGAGGAGATTGAGAGGATTCCATTCCCGCAACTAATTTGGAAAAAGGAGCAACGAGGTGGCCGGATTTTGGAAGGGGATCGGCGGCACTGTGCACCGCACGGGAGACAGTCGGCTGGAGGAGGAAGATGGAGTACTGTAGCTCGGGGGAAGCAAAACAGACTTTCGGCCGGGCTGAGAGGAAGGGAGGGAATGGGCTGAATTCGGCCCAAGACTAGGAAGGATAATTTTATTGCTTTTCCAAATAAATTAACCAATGAGATGATCTTTCAATTGTTAAAAATACTTCCAATGCTCAAATAATTCCAAGAAAAATCTTGAACATATTTGGACACTCAAAGTATTTAATATAATAATATCCAGATCATTTAATGAATAATTTATTATTTAAATAATTGCTAAACTGTTCTTTGTATTATTAAAATTAAAAATTGAGCTCTGAAAAATCCGAGAAAATTCCAGAGAGTATAATTAATCATGGAGAATTTAATAAAAATTAAATCCAACCATGATTTATATTTAGGAAATTTTATTTCCCACATTTAACTTCACTTGTAAATTAATGAACATTTAATATAAATTCTATTAATAATTTATTAAATAATTTATAAATCCTGAAACGAAATTTCAGGCTGTGACAGATAATGGTCGTGTCCGGTATGGGCATATCTTGTAATTCTCGGGTATAAATAGACCCCGGGCCCTATGTAATTTTTTAACACACACGTTCAATACAATCTCGGCGCATCGCCACCCTTTTGCTTTAGTTTTGTTTCGACGAGTTCTTGCTTTCGGGTTGAGCTGCATCGATTTCGATCTTCAACAAGAGGTAAAACTTGTTATGACGGCTTGCGTTCTCGGGATTAGTGCTTCCATCTTCATGACACACTAATCTTGTTTATGTAATTCGTCGAGTTATCATATATCTTACATAATCTCTAGCAATATCGCTATCTAATCTACTATCGGCCAATATCTGTACGCAGAAGGCAGCCGATTAGGTTAGATCTTAACGTTGATCTAGATCATATAAGATATCCACCATTCTATGGAACTTCTAGCGGCTTGATTGTCTAGATATCGTTCTTCTTTTCATACTTAATGCTGCATCAGTTGAGTTTGATCTATTAAGTCGTGCTTAGAATATCGATCTCTAGCCTGCCTTCTAGTTGACGATTAGAATAGCATCGGAGTTTCAGCCGATCATATCTGATTTAGCCATATTTATTCTATATGTCTCATTGATATGCTAAATCTGCCCTTTATATCAAGATATTGCTGTATCTAAATACGTTAGGCTTTTGTTTGATATATTATACCTGCTTTAATATCCTGATATAGAGTGGTATCGGAGTATTAGCCGATACACGCTAGATCTATTTGATCGGCTACGCTATAAACTTATATAGTCTTGTTATTGACATATATTTCGATCTAAGTGACTCATACTGTCTCGGCATGATGACCGATCTATCCCAGTCACTTGATTTAAGTATATATCGATATGAGGAGTATATATCGTTAATATCTACAGCCGATCGAGTAGATTTAGTTCTTCTTTACTTATTCACGATTGCCGATCGATACACAGATGACATCGGCCCAAAGATAGATGATATGTCATCGGCATCTAGCCGATCGGCTATCATTTATAGATTTAACTACGGTGTCTTTGCTTCTATTTCTTGTTGATTACATGATCAAATCAACTGGCATGCTAATACATCCGAAGGCGAGCTTTGGACCTGCACTGGAGTTAAGCAGATCTCCCAGGCCACGTGTTTTCTGTCAACACATAGTCATGCCCTGCAATGCCAACATGAAGCATAATTTCAATATCTAGTTCACTACCAGCACCCTTATAGATAATAGCATCAGAAAGTACAAAGTGAAGCACTATTGTCAATAGTGGTCTCTGCTGGGGCGGCTTCAACTCAACCATATGTATGACCCTTGCTATACTTGTGCTAGCATAGCATGCTTGGTGCCCTTTAAGGAAAAAAAAGAGGGAATGTAGGTGATGAAAATATTTTTCCAATGATGAAAAAAAGAGGGAATGTAGACAAAATTGTTTATGGTATTAATCGGTAATGCTTATTTTTTTTACTGTATAGATACAATACTATCTTTCAAAATGAGCGAGGTTAATAAAAAAATATAGCTATACTGACATATGACCGTGACAATCTTCGAGTACCATATCATTCTTTATATTTTGACTAAGATATATTGTTTAGCGTCCGGTTTATTTTCATCATGTATTGTTCATAGTTACATGTGACATCTTTACTAAGAATATATTTCCCAAAATTATTTAAAGTAAATAATTTGTTGGAGTACACTTATAGTCACTTTAGTGGGGTGTATGACATACATCATCAATTATGTTCGATATATTAGAATTTCTAAATGATAAAAAATATATGATGAATAGTTTAATGCACATGATTGTTCATTTGTTACCAAACCAATTTCGAAAGAAAAACTATATATGACCATAGTTCTCGTGATGGATTAAGGGGTCGTATTATAGCAAGATCTCTGCCTGGAAATTCCAATCAAATAGTTCTAAATTTTTTTAAGATAAGATAATCTTAATCTCAGATAAATGAAAATTAATCTAACTGTAAACCACAATGTTGTTTCACTTTTTCTTCATGTAGATTTGAATTAGTGTTATATATTTGTCAAGCGAATTTGACACCAAGTGAAATTATTTTAAAAATGATCATGACATTAATTATTATATGTTAGCTAAATTATTTGAAAAATAATTATGACATTACATATTATATGTCGGCACCATGTGTCGTGATGAATTTAGCAGTTCCATATAACTATTATAAGTGATTAGTATTTTATTTAATTAAAAACATACAAAGGATTATAAGTTAGATATATATTGGAAAAATAATTTAAAAGATGAGCACTTAATGACAGCTGATTTGGTACTTTATATTAATCTAGTTTAACCGTGCATATTTGTGGAGTAATAAATTTTATTTTATAATATGGAAAATCCTCTTTTAAATACCATATTGTTCTTACAGCGTACATATGTTTTTTTTTGGCTTTTTTGTCTTGCTACGTAAGGATGTCTGTTTGGTTTTTTAAGAGAACATGTATGTTATTGTTTCTGGTAAATAATTTCGATGAAGCTGATCTAATATAATGGGTTTAAAATAGCGGGTCCACCAATTTAAGTGAAAATTGACGGTTAAATTAGAAAGTGCCACGTGGCGGTTTAAGAGCGTTTGTATGAGTGCCACGTGGCGGCTTACGAGCGTTTGTAGGAAATTTCATGGACTATTATATGTCGGCACCATGTGTCGTAATGAACTTAGCAGTTCCATATAACTATTATAAGTGATTAGTATTTTATTTAATTAAAAAATACAAAGGATTATAAGTTAGATATATATTTGAAAAATAATTTAAAAGATGAGCATTTAAAGACAGCTGATTTGGTACTTTTATATTAATATAGTTTAACTGTGCATATTTATGGAGTAATAAATTTTATTTATAATATAGGAAATCCTATTTTAAAGACCATATTGTTCTTACCGCGTACATATGGTTTTTTTTTGGCTTTTTTATCATGCCACATCAGGATGTCTGTTTGGGTTTTTTAAGAACATGTACGTTATTTTTTTAGTAAATAATTTCTATGAAGCTGAGACTTTTTTAAATAGATCTAATCTAATGTTCTAAAATAGTGAGTCCACCAATTTAAGACGGTTAGATTAGAAAGTGACACGGGGCGGTTTATGAGTGTTTGTAGGAGTGCCACTTAGCGGCTTAGGATAAAACATATGATAAAAATCAATAGTGTAAAAATTGGAGGTAATATAAATATATTTTTGCGGTATATCTAGTAAAAAAATAATAAAAGGGGTGAATGGGGAGGAAAAACAGGAATCAAGTATATACGTTCGTGCGAGATACACGTACACGTCAGGATGGATTAATTCTGTTTTTAATCTAATCTATGGTCTAAACTAATAGATCTATAAATTTAAATAAAAATTAAGGGTTAGATGTTTCTAATATATTAGAACGCCACGTGGCATAGGAGCGTTTGTAGGAAGGATCCTACGTGACGGCTTTGAGAGCGTTTTGAATGGGGAGGAAAAAGAGAAATCAAGTATGTACTTACGTGCGAGATACACGTACACGTCAGGGAGGGATTAATTCTGTTTTTAATCTAATCTAATCTAATGGTCTAAAATAATAGACCCACAAATTTACATGAAAATCAAGGGTTAGATGTTTCTAATATATTAGAACGCCAAGTGGCGGCTTAGGAGCGTTTGTAGGAATTCCGCGTGGCAGCTTGACAGCGTTTGTAGGAAGTTTAATGGACTTTTAGTATATAATAATAGAAGATAGATGTTTGACCATTCGTCTTATTCAAAAAAATTTATGTAATTATCATTTATTTTATTATGACTTGATTTGTCATCAAATGTTCTTTAAGTATGACATAAATATTTTCATATTTGCACAAAATTTTTTTAATAAAATGAATGGTCAAACGTTAGTCGAAAAATCAACGGCGTCATATATTAAAATACGAAGGGAGGAGTTAGTTTGCTGTTTTAGTCGAGTTGTACTAGACCGGCCTGCGTGCCATATCCGGGCTTCCGGAGTCGGCCTTTGCGTCGCATGTATATATGGTCTAGCGAACAGTTTTTGGGATGGGGTAATTTTTTGTTAAGAGTTAGTTTTTAGGGTTTGCTATTCAGCCGATAGGATGGCGATCCCATCCAATTAATTTGTCGCCGTCGCCGCCGTAAGGTTTGGAGGAAGCATACATCGTGGAAATTTGCCCAAGGTGTGTCGCTTGGAATTCTGTTGGTTTCAAGCTTCTCCGATGGTGTGTTTTTTCTTTTTTAATAACGGAATAGAATATCTCGGTTTTTGCGTAACGAGCTATAACTATTAATTACAGAGTAGTGCACAATAAAAACTTTATCACACCAAAAAGAAAAGACACCCGTGTGTTTTTTTCTACACGGGTGAAGAATATAAATTCTTGGTTTGGTTTACTATCCTCTGAACTTATAAGTCAATACTACACTATATATATTGCTTTATTCTGTGATCGAGAAAATATCACTGTTGATTATTCTTGGTACAGTGAAAGAGGGGAAAATTAGGGCGCTCG